TACCAGTGACCTTGTGGTATTTTGACCTCATCGTTGGCTGCACTGAGATCTGTAAACTCTACCTAGAACTTGTTATGCTGTGAAATTTTCTGTCTTTTTATATGTTCTCTGCTTCATTTGATATGAAGTGAAAAAAGGTGCATAATGAGTGTTGTGCTGATTAATTACAAATGAGCTAAATCATCAAGGTCTGTATTCATTTAATGTGTTTTGTGTCTAGGTACACACGACCACATATGAGGACTTGGACAAGCATGGCAAATATGATCTGCTGCGGTCCACCAGACACTTCGGAGGCATGGCCTGGTACTTAGTCAGTGTTCGCAGGGTGGATGGGCTCATAGTGGACATGCTAAAAAGAGAGCTGTGAGTTTTTTTAAGCATTTGCATTATTTTAGAATTGAGTTACATTGAGTACGCTGTACCTGCTGGCAAAAGCGCTGATCTGAGCCTTCAGTGTGTGTGTTGGTGTTTCCAGGCTCCAGGATGCTGTAAGCCTCGTGTCTCTGTTCCACATGGTCCACCCCCACAGTGAGTCAGCCCGGGAAGCTGCCAGCCAACAGGCCACAGGCACCGACCTGCTTAAGGTAGTTGAACTGTGACAAACAGTATGTGCCGATTTGTATCTCTGTTTGACACTTGAGTTCATTTGAAGTCTGTTTAACGTATTGCTATTTGAGCTAGTTTACATAAATGGTATTCCTGGATGTTCGAGGCGAATCAGGAGTCAGTATAGCTGTTAAGAGGTCAAATCTAGGCTGTTTCCTGCATTAGACGTTTGGGTTTTTACTCTAAAGTGGGAATAGAGGGACCAGGTCCAGGATACATCAGGTCTTATTTGTTCTCACAGGCCTTCAGCCTTGAAGTAAGGTGGAGAGACACTGAGAATGACAACCATTTAATGTGAAAGGTTAGCGGCAGGAGGTGTGGGTGTGTGTCTGTCTTCTACATTCAAGGCCTCTCATTTAGTCACAGTTGATTTCGAAACCATTGATACCAGGGTCACCATTCGCAAGTCAAAGAAAAATCGCCCTATGACAGCTGGGATAGGCTCCAGCGCCCCCCGCGACCCTGAAAAGGATAAGCGGAAGCGAATGGATGGATGGATGGATGGATGATTTCGAAACCCAATCTTAGCTGTGTTTACTACGTCCAGTAATAATACTATTAATACTGTGATTGCACTTTGACTGCACTTTAGTGTAATTGATCTCTTTTCTTTTTCCATTTACTCACGTGTGCCCCCGCAGATCTATGCCCAGAGGGACTCCCAAAGGTCGGGCTACATCGAGCTGGCTCTGCAGGCCTATGAACAGACTGCTGTTGAGGGCTCTGCTTCATGATTGGTCCATACCTCAATAGAGAAATGCTATACAGAACGTCTGGAAATCCTGCCTCTCGTGTATAAAATATGACAGTTTGTTGTTTTTGTGTTGGGCCAAGAGTAAAATATGCTTCTCCAAAGGAAACCTTTTCACATCACAACCAACAATTTGAAGAGTTGGCTGCAACGTCTTGTGAGATACTTTAAGATGTTTATTTCTTATGCGGAGAAATTGTCAGTGTAGTTCTTTGAATCAAGCTTCATGTCTGCTTATATCATGTACATAAAATAAATACAGCCTTTGTACTTGAGTGTCATGTTATTGGAATTATATTAGAGACTGTGGAAGCTCCTTTAATTTACTCGCCAAGAAAACAGTCACAGTAGCATGCAGTTTTTATTTCAAACAAAGGAAGCAGAAAACCATGTTAAACACACTAGCAACAGCAACATGCTGTATGTTTTTGATCATTTAATAAGCTTAAAAATAAAATTAGGACTTTATCATTTAAGACAATGAGAAGAACCAAATGGAGGGTTTGCATGACGTGGTGTATACATAAAGTGGAATGGCATGCGGAACATTTAACTCACATTGAACCGGTGAAATGGTCATTTGGAGTCTGATAAAATGCTGTGATGCTTGTGGGAGAGGCATTGCGATTCTTTCCTATGAAGGCTATGTTTCTGTCAGCGAGTAAAGCGGGAAGGACTTAAATTTGAGACACAGCAAACCCCAAAGTATTTATTTAAAGATACGAACCATTTAAAATAAAATCATAAAGGCACGCTAGCAACAATGAAGAAATGCCTATTTGTCAGTACATTTTTGGCTTTAATACACTGCATATGCAGATAGTATTAAAATACAGCCTGGTCTCATCAGAGTCGTGGCTGGAAACCAGCAAAACAGCTCTGTCCCACTGAGGCATGGACAGGCTTCCTAAGGGTTTTCACGGTGTCTGGCATCATGCTTCGGGAGCAGATACTTTGGGATTTGTGGGCTGCAAGGTAGGTGGGTTGGGCTTATTCCATTGTGTTCGATTAGTCTGGGATCTGGGCAGTTGGGAGGCTGGTTTTTGTCGTGTTTGGATAAGGGTTTAGGCCAGAACTAAGAACGCAAACGCCTAATAATATTCACTTCAGTCTTAATTGTTTTGATTTATGAAACTCGCATCACTGAACAGAAAAAAATGGCTTGTGAAAGGCTAGTTTCTATTCACCCAGGAACTCTTCATCTAGGTTGACATCTGTGGTGTCAATATCCTCCAGGTCAAAGTTGTCCAGATCATCCAGGGCCTACAGGTGTAAGGCAAAACAATTCTGGATTTAACATTCATAGCAATATTAGTGTAACAGGCTTATAAACCTTTGTTTACCTCATCATTCGCCTCGAGGTCCTCTGGCAGTACCTCAGGTCTTTCAGGACCTTCCTCTTCCTCTTCTGCTGCACGGCCTTCTGCATGAGCTACAGTGAGGGCTAAAACCTCTGGCTCAGCCTTGTGAATAACAGGAGGCTTTACTGGAAGTTCTCCAGTTTGTTTCTCTTGTTCTCGTTCTTGTGCTGGGGCTGGCTTCAGTACTGACACTGCATCTTCAAGCAAGTCTAGCAGAGGATCCAGGGTCAGCTCCGGTAAAATCTGGACAGCTGCGTCCAGCGCTGGAACATCTGCGGTTTCAAAAGAGATGAGCTCCTCCACTGCCGTGTGTGAAGGTGCTGTTTCTGCAACAAGTTCGCACGTAACAGGAGTCTCTTCTGTTTCTGCTGCTCCACCCATTGAACCTGGAACTTCTGAGGCGATCCTATCTTTTTCCAGATCTGGATGAATGATCATTTCCCCAGGTCCTATAGGCTCGGACGTAACTTCATTATCGACCGTCAGACCAGCGCTAACCAGAACATCCTCAGCTGCTAAAGCCTCATTTGGTGCTTCTTGTGTTGTTAGAGTGATTTCTGTTTCCGAAGCACAGACAGCAGGTGGAGCTTCAGTTTCTGAAGATAATTCCTGAACGTCTTTCTTCACGCATGACCTGACATCTTCCACAGGACTGAGCTGTACCATCTCAGCCTCCTCATCAGGCATCCTGGTGATTTCCTCCACAGAGACTAGAGTGTCTGCTTTAGTGCCCACCTTCGCTGCTTTAAACTCGCATGATTCTGACACTGCTTGCTCTTCTGTAGCAGCAGTAGGAAAAGGGTCTGCTCCTCTCAGGACTGATTCTTCTTCACTTGCTGAAACGGGATCAGTCGACTCTTGTTTTACTGAAGTGTCCTCCTCCACTACTGCAACTTTTGAATATTCACTTTCTGTTACTGCTGGCACAATGGTGGCCTCACTAATGCTCTCCGCCCCTTGCTTTAAAGAAAACACAGAACGATCAAACTCAGAAAAGGAGTTGCAGTGTTTGCTCAACCGCTGGCTTTAATCATCTGTTTAAGTTATAACTGTTTAAGTTTTACAGAAGGAGCAACACTGTTCTCTTTCATGCACCATGTGCCAGACATGGTGCATGAAAGAGAACAGTCAAGTGTGAAAGGAGCTGAATCAGTGGTAAATTTGAATGGGTTTTTTTTTCGCTTCTCACAGTGAACCATTACAAATCTTTACAAATCTTTTTCATTTTTGTTATCATCCATTAGCTTATATTGTTACCCTAAAAACACATATTAGGTTAGGATATTACACTGTAGTCAAGATACCATGGAAGGAAATTAAAAAAAGACTGGTATGCTGCTGTGACATTTATAGTAGCTTAGGCACTTATTGACACACAAGAGCAGCCTGTTTGACTGCACTGACTGAATGAGCATGTGTAGAGATGAAGACTGTGCTCTCACCTCTGAGTCAGTGATTTCTCCTTTAGGTGTAAAACCTGCTGATTCCTCCAGAAGACTGCGCTCTTCATTTGGCTAAAGAACCAAAGAAATGGGAAAAGTGGGATCTCAGACTCTTAACTTATGTTCAAAGTATGAACAGCTATAGTCCAACAAGCTTTGCAGAAAATGCAAAAAGTTGTAGATGCTGATTTAACTTTGAAAATACAGTTCGACTGACTCTCGCACTGACCGTAATGAGAGGGTATTCTGAAGCAGGTCTGACCCCGACATGAGTCTCCTTCAGGTACTGCTCAGCCAGCAGGGCTTGCTGGAAGCCAGGGAACAGGTTGGTGTACTGGCTGGGGTCAGCCAGAGCATCTGCTGCCTTCTGGTTGACCTTGGAAAGACTCTCCTTCCAGAGTTTCACCACCCTGAAGGAAGAGAGGCACACGCATCGCCACAGTGATGCATAATATATTA